GTCCACTGAGGGCCTTGTGTTTGAGCTGACTCTGAGAAACCTTTGTGGCCTTTGGGTTCCTCCTCTTTGTGGTCTTAGACACCCTTCTCTCATTTTTTTTTTTTTACTAGTATGAAGATTAGTGATGATACAGCCAGGCATGGTGGTAAAACCCAGCACTCCAGAAGCTGAGGCAGGAGGATCAACATGGGACCAAGGCCAGCCTAGGCTCCACGGTGAGTTCACCACCAACTTGGACTACATTGCTAGACTCTGTCTTAAAAAAACAAAAATGAGGGGCTAGGGATTTAGTTCAGCGGCATAAGTGCCTGCCTTGCAAGCAGGCAGTCGTGAGCTTGATCCCTGGTACCGGTAAAAAGGAAAAAGACAAAAAAAAAAAAAAAAAATGAACAAACCAAAAAAGATAGAATTGATAGTGGCTGTCGTGGTAATATAAACTTCATCTCTTTGGTTTTAAATTGTTGAAAGTTCAAGTCAGGCATGGTAAGTCATGTCTATAATCCCAGCACTCAGGAGGCTGAGGCAGGAGGAATGCTATGAGCTCGAAAATAGTGAGTTCCAGACCAGCCTGTACTACAAAGTTAAACTCTCTCAAAAAATCAAACTTGAAAGTTCAAATATACACATAAGGGAAAACATTTTAATCCTTCCCAGTACTGCAGGACTCTCCCCGCTCCGTGTCTTGTGTAGTGTTCTAGAAAGCTGCCTAAATAAACAATATAGTGGTCTTGCCCTAAAATTCACCTGGTCACTGGCCCTGTAACCCTCACTGTCTTTTCAGGCAGCCACAGTTTCATGTCTCCCATATAAAGCAAACATCAGATGTGGTGGTGCACACCTGTAATTCCAGCACTCAGGATGCTGAGGCAGGAGAATCATGATACGTTCAATGCCAATTTGGGCTACATATTGAGATCCTATCTCAAAAACCAAACAAAGAGAATCAGGATAAGGACCAGAGCCCACCTCCCTTTGCAGAAAAAGACAAAAACTCTAGATGCCACCATGGCATGTGATGCCGCCCAGCCTGGGACAGTGGATCTGGAGTGAATGATGGAAAAGCAGATGCCACAGCTCTGGCCCCTGGGGCAGCAGCACCGTCCCTTGATGGTCCCCAGCCAGTGCCTCGGGTTGCTCTCCCGGCTGCCTGGCTCCTGCCTGTTTCCTGAGCATGTTCCCTGCCCCCCAGCCCTCCTGTGTCTTCTCATTTGATTCCTTTTCCACCTAAACCACCTGGGTTTCTGGAGTTTACAGTGACAAACTGTGACAGCCTCCCTGTGGTCACATCAAATACAGCACCCGACCCCCACCTGGGGGGCCCCAGTGTGAGTTCTCATTGCAAAGGCCATCACAGCTCGAAGGTCCCTCTTTTTCTTCTGTCACTCGTGCACTGGGGATGCAGCAACTGTGTGGTGGTGACACAGAAGCAGCCCCCAACTTGCAAATTGTCAGCAGGGAAGTGGGTTCTCCAGGTGGGGTCAATCACTCAGACCCCCAGCATTTTAACCGTGACAGGCCCAGAGTCAGACCCAAGCAGGAAAATGGCTTCTCAACTCCTCACCATCAGAACTGGTGCAAGATAGCTGGGTGTAGTGGTGCATGCCTGTAATCCCAGCTCTCGGGAGGCTGAGCCAGGAGAATGGAAAGTTCTAGTCAGGCTAGGCTACATAGCCCGTTCAAGTTTAGCCTGGAACACACAGTGGACTACATAGTTTAAAAAAAAAAAAAACAAGCCAGATATGGTAGCCCTTGCCTGTGACTCCGGTACTCAGGAGGCTGAGGCAAGAGGATCACCATAAATTCAAGGCCAGCCTCAACTAGTGAGCTCAAGGCCAGCCTGAACTACACAGTGAGATCTTGTCTCAAACAAGAAAAGGTGGAATTTAAGAGTACTTAAGGGATGAACATTTTCTTTTCTTTTTCCTTTTTTTTTGGTCTTTTTGAGACAAGGCCTTTGCTATGCAGTTAATGTTGGCCTTGGGCTCACTCAGTAGCTCAGTCTGGTCCTGAACTTACAACGATCCTCCTACTTCAGCCTCTCTAGTGCTGGGAATACAGGAGAGCACCACCATGCTCAATTTGAATATTTTCCTAATGACATCCCTGAGTTAATTCTCCTAAGAGTGTTGCAATAAAGAAGAAGCCTGAGCCAGGCATGGCGGTGCACGCCTATAATCAAAGCACTTGGGAGGCTGAGGCAGGAGGACTGCTGCAAATTTGAGGCCAGCCTGGGCTATAGAGAAAGTTCAAGCCTGAACTGCATAGGGAAACCCTGTTTCAAAAAGACAAAAGAAAAAAAAGAAGTCTGGCTCTCCCCTGGGCAGCCTGTCTGGTCACAAGACCTTTCCCTGCCTCTCCTGCCATCACAGTGCCAGTTGCCTGAGTTCCTCTCTAGGGCAGGAGATGCCAGCCCATGTCCCTGTAGGATCATGAGGTACACGAACCTCCACTTTGTGGAGTCACCAGCTGCAGCTGTTTGCTCACAGGGACACAGGCACACAGGGGTGGGATCCCACCTTGCCCACCTGTGCACTGCAAACACCTGGCACATCCCCAGGAACCCAACGAGCCACGATGCCTGTTTCTGCCAGGCACCATGCCAGGCCCCAGAGACAGGCAGGGCAGAGTCCACACCAGGAGGCCAAGAAGGACTGCAGGAGCAGTGAGGGAGCTGGAGGAAGGCACTTTCTGAGCCAAGCCACCCCCATGGGGCAGCAGGGGAACCCAGGGGCCGTGGCACCAGGTGGACACCACAACACTTCCAGGAACCATTCCAGGTTGTGTAGAATTGGGCTGTGCAGTTCCAATGTACAAAGGAAAGGAGGAAGGACAAGAGATGGGACATGGTGAACCTGGGCCAGATTCAGACTACGGGATTCAGAAACGGAAGGGGAGGGGCCAGGGGTTTAGCTTTGTGGCATTTTAAGTGCCTGCCTGCAAGCAAGAGATCATGAGTTTGATCCCCATACCAAAAAAAAGAAATGGAGGGAAGATATTAGAAACACGCATCTCATAAACATCACCCCAGTTTACCAAAATGTTGTATTGTAGGCCAATAATCCAAGCATTCAGCAGGCTGAAGCAGGAGATCACCATGAGTTCAAGGCCAGCCTGGGCTACATAACAAGACCTGGCCTCAACCAAAAAAAAAAGACAATAAACAAGATTATTCAAGCCTCCAGGTGGACAGGCAGAGTGAACGTGGGTAGTGAAACATGTCAGGCCACTGCAAAGACCCGGAAATGAAGAGCTGAGCTGTGCCCTAGGCCCTGGAGACAGAGGTTGGGGACTGGAGGTGAGTGTCACATAGACAGTAACACCTGCAGGATGTTGTGACCAAGAAATAACCAAGAGGGACAAGACAGATCCCATCCTGGTCTTAATACTCACCTGGTCCTGTTTGTTTCTTTCTTTGAGTCCTAAGTCCTTTTCATTTTCTTTTTTTGGTACCAGGAATTGAACTTATGACCATGCACTTGTCAGGCAGCGCCTACACCACTGAGCTAAATCCCCAGCCATCCTTTTCAGTTTCTATTATTGGCAGTCCAGAGTTTCAGCTCTTCCCCAGGCTTGTTGACCCAGAGAAATGCTTCCAGTAGCTGCATGCCAGAGCTTGAGCCCAAGGCCTTGTGCACATGAGACAGTGCTCTGCCATGGAAGCTCTGCCCCAGCTTTCTGTTTTCTATTTCATTTACTTAGTTCTGGGTTGGTTGGTTTGTTTGGTTTCGGTTTTTTGAGACAGGTTCTCACTGTGTAGTTCAGGCCAGCCCTGAAGTTGCCGTGGAGTCCAGGCTGGTCTCAAACTCATGGAGATCCTACTGCCTCAGCCTCCTGAGTGCTGGGATCACAGGCCCAGTGCCCTGTGAGTAAATCTGCAGATGCATGATTTTTTGGGTCATATTTCATGAACTTCTCCATTCCTATTCTCCCTTCTGGTGATGATGACATAAGGGGAAATGTAAATTTCAACCTGCTAGATGTCAGACATGCCAAGTTGGTGCTCCTCAAAGTCAAAGAATGAATTCTAAGGATCAGTGGTTAAGAGGAGGAGAATCTGTGGGGGAAGAGGAAGAGCTCTGGAGAGACAGGAATGGGTTCCCCACGAGCCCGCTTCTCTGAGGTTTTCTAGAGTAAAATCACGATGTATGTACAACATGCATCAAAACTATAATCAAAACAGGGCGTGGAGGGGGCATACTTGTAATCCCAGCACTTGGGAGGCTGAGGCAGGAGGATCATTGCCAATTCAAGGTTAGCCTGGACTACAAAGCCAGCCTGAACTGCATAGCGAGACCCTGTCTCAAAAGGATTTAAAAAAGACAAAAGGAGAAAAAAACCAACCCTAACCAAAACTATAACCAACCAATAAAATCAGAAGTGTAGCTGCTAGGCTAATATTGATCCAGTAATATAGGAGACATCACTCTCTTTGGCTAAGGACTCTGCAGTCTTCATCTTTAGTGGGAGAGGATGGGCCACCCCTAATGAGATGATGGTCTGTTTTTATGGGAGATCTCAAAAAGGTGGCACCAATAACTTCAGATTGGCATTTATCCCTTTGGGCCACTGTGACTTCCATCTTCACACATGGCTCCAGCCAGGCCTGTGCTGTGTCCTCATCAAGGACCTGGCCCTGACTATCTGAATGGAATGTTTCTGCGTGGGTTGCCTGCAGGCGACCCTGGCTACAAACAGAGCTGAGAGCTGCAGGCCCAGGGTGTGTGGAGACCAGGCCTTGTCCTCCCTGGAGGGCACAGGGTCCAGTGTGGTAACTCCGGGATTGCAGGTACCTCGGAAACAAAGGAAATGAGGCTACAGATGTGCCCAGAAGGGAGGCGTGGTCCTCCAAACTCCTAGGAGCTGTGCCTGAGAAACTCAGTGTCCACACAGGCCTGGGAGGCATTGCACCCCCATCACCCCTCACGCAAAGATGATTCCAGGGACCCTGGCACACTGGTCACGTCCTCTGCCATGGATTATTTAGGAGACAGCTGAAAGGATGCAGGGCAGGGGCTTTTTTATTGCAAAGATGGCAGAAGCAATAAATGCGACACCAGGAAGCTTGAAAACACAGCAAGCCGTGGTCACTCTGAGCGACTCCCCAGTTCACAGGGCACGAAGCATGTCCTAGGGTGGGGAACACCCTCACCTCCATGCTGTGGGGTGACTTCAGGATGGGGGTCCTGGTATGTCGGCTGGGAACACCTTGATTACTGCCCTGTTGGGAGTCCGCAGGAACCCTCCTCCAGGGCGCTGTGGCTGCTGAACCCCTCATTCTTAGAATGGTTGCAGGGCAGAGAAGTTAGAAGGAAGAAGATTGGGGGGAAGGGGGAAGAGTGTGTGTGTGTGTGTGTGTGTGTGTGTGTGTGTGTGTGTGTGTGAAGGTCACAGAGGCTGGACTCAGGGAGGCTGCTCCCCTGTTGGAGAGGGGCAGTAGTGGCACACACCTGTAAACCCAGCACTCCGGAGGCTGAGGCAGAAGGACTGCTCTGAATTCAAGGCTATCCTGGGCTTACAAGTGAGCTCAAGGCCAGCTTGAATTGCATAGGGAGACCCTGTGTAAAAAAGAAAGGAAAAAAACAAGAGTGAAAGTGAAAAGACAGGAGAAGACGGGCAGCAAAGGAGCACATGTGGCCAAAAAGACTGGCAGAGGAGACTAGAGAGGGGGGCGTGAAGGTCGCTGAGGAAGGAGGTCCTGGCCACAGAAGGGGACGGCGCCAGGACGCTGCTGGGGCGACAACAGCCCCGGCCTGGGGAGCCCTGGGCGGAGGGTGGTGTTGGCCAGGACGGATGCAGTGGCTGGGCGGGCGCGCTAGGAGCTGAAGGCAGCCTTGAGCTCGCGGAAGGCGGCCCGGCGCTGTCTCCGGTCCTCCTCCTCCTTCCTCCGCTCGTCCTGCTCAGCCTTTAGCTCGGCCTCGAACTTGCTGGCAGACGCCAAGGCCTGGGCCTAGGAGAGAGCAGATGTGGCTGGGAGCGGGCCGGCTCCGTCCCGGTCTGCTGCTGCTTAGACGCACTTACAGCGGTAGGGGGCGCTCTAAATTTTTTCTTTTTATTTATGTATTTATTTAGGCATAGTCAAATGAACCCAGGACCTTTGTACTGAGTCCCATCGCCAGCCCTTTTAAAATATTTTCGAGGCCAGGCGTGGTGGTGCTGCACGCCTGAAATCCCAACACGCTGGGGGCTGGAAGGAAAACCACAGGTGGGAACGAAGCCTGTGCAACTTAGCCAGTTAGCGAAATATTTTTGGCCTCAAAAATAAGTAAGTAGGGCTTGGGATGCAGCTCATTGGCACAGCGCCTGTCTGGCAAGCTAAAGGGCCTGAATTCAAATCCTAGTAACAAAAAATATATAAGTAAGTAGCTGGGAATGGTAGCAAATGCCTATGATCCCATCACTCAGGAGGCAGGAGGATCACCATGAACTCGAGGCCAGCCTGGGCTACACAGCAAGAGCCCGTCTCTAAATAAATTAACAAATACTTTAAAACTTTTTCTTTGGTACTGGGAATCAAACTCAGGACTTTGCACTTGCCAGGCAGGCACTGCACTGCTAAGCTACATCCCCAGCCCACATTTTTTTAAAATGTTAAGACAGGTTCTCCTTAAGTGACTACACTGACTGGGCTAGACTCATACATATGATCCTCCTGCCTCAGCCTCCTAGAGTGCTGTGAATATAGCCACCATGCCCAACTGCCATGTTTTTAATTTCAGCATTTGTCTCCTATAATGCATATCAGATAAATCCATGTAAAAGTTCTCTGTTTAACAGCTGACCCTGCCTGTCCATGGTACCCTTTCTGAATGATGCACCGGGTGTGTATGTCACTGCACTCCGAAGCAGCTGTCCCGTTACCCTTCCAGTATCACCAAAGCTTATCACTAACACGCTTCCTTCCTGCCAATCTGGGAAAAGCTGGCGCCTTGTTTGCTCCTCAGTGAACTCCCACTTGTAACCTTCGCCTGTTTGTCTGTTCTGCTGCAGAGCCGCTCACCGATTCTCCAGTTTTAATAAAATGCAGCTTTTTGCTACCAGTTCTTTACTCACCGCTGGCTTTTGCTTCTCTTCTAACTTGAAGCTATCTTGGGTCTCAGAAATATTTGCAATTTTGATGTCATTGAATTTGTCAACCATTTCCTTTCTGGATTTTGCATTTTATACCATGTTTAAGATTTTTCTTGGCCCACAAGGCTTTAAGTCCATTTTTCTGTGTTTTCTTCTACTACTTTGATGGTTTTGTTTCCTCATTTAGCTCATTAAGACCCAAAAAGCTCCTCCTCCATAAACTCATTTTTTTTTAGTGAGAGGTATACGAATTTTTTAAAGTTTTGTTTTATTGTTTTGTTGAGACAAGGTCTACCGTATAGTTGAGGATGATTTTGAACTCATTATGTAGCCCAGGCTGCCCTTAAACTCATGGTAACCTTTCTGCCTCAGTGCCCCTTTTTAAAATTTTTTTTTTGTCTTTTTCATTTTTATCGGTACCAGGGATTGAACTCATGACCGCACACTTGCAAGGCAGGCGCTTATGTCACTGAGCTAAATCCCCAGCCCCTCCTTTTTAAATTTTTAAACTGTGAGACAGGATCTCCCCAAATTGCCAAATTGTTCAAGCTGGCCTTGAACACCACCAGATCCTCCTGTCTCAGCCTCCCAGAGTGCTGAGATTACAGTTTTCTACCACATCCAGCCACTTTTCTTTCATTTTGACATTTCCTACAACAGGAATAATTTTAAAATTATTTAAAGTCTTTGTACAAATCTCCCTACATGTTATAAGTTCATTCTATTTCCTGATGTTTTGTAATCTTTACAGCTATATTCCTTAATATAAAATTTATTTCTGGTGTGGCATTTTAAATCTGGTTTTATTAACAGAAGCAACAGCTTCAGAGAATGGACATGCCATGATCTTTTGTAACATGCTGGCATTATTTCTGTAACACTGGAAATTGGGGTGGGCTGGGGTTTGGTGGTAAGGTGTATGCTTAGCACGCATGGGCTGCTGGGCTTGAGCCCAGAGCTGCAGAAACAATCACGGGCCTTCACACTTACTGAGCTACATCTGCTAAGTTTCTCAGATTGGGCTTGAAGTCCTTCTGCCTCAGCCTCCCAGAGTGCTAGGACCCCACGCGTGTACTACCCTGCCTGGCTGTACTGATGATTCTGTGTGCAGGCTTCCAAGCCGGAACACTTTTCTTTTTCTTTACAGGAAGTCTTGCAGTGTAAGCGTCCCGCTCCACTGAGACGGATTTTTCCAGTTTGAGATGGGTCTTTGGCAGGGCTCGACTCTCTTCCCCAGACCCATCCCACTTCTTCCTCTCTTCATGGGAAACAAACATCAATGCAATCTTTTCTCTCTGGCCCCTCTCCCTGCACAGGGAGGCCCCAGACAGTTCCTAAACACCTCTCACCCCAGAGGTGGGCTGTGCTGGCATGAAATCGGCCCAAAAGCCAGCCACTCAAAGCCCAGAGACTGTGTATTGCTAATTTAAATAGAGACAACATGAAAACTAGAGCTATCATTTTGGCTGGACCTAGAGATGTAATCCTAGCACTCAGGAGGCTGAGGCAGGAGAGTCACACCTAGTTTGAGGTGCGACTCTCCCAAACTACCCCCACCCTCCAAAAAACCCCTAAAACTAAGTTTATAGAAAACAAAAATAATAAATACTAAGCAGTTCTTTTCTTTTTCTTTTGAGACAGGGTTTTGCTGTATAGTTCAGGCTGCATCTGAACTCTATGTAGCCCAGGCTAGCCTTGAATTTGCAGCAATCCTCCTGCCTCAGCCTCCTGAGTGTTAGGATTACAGGCATGCGCCACCATGCCTGGCTATTTCCTGATTATTTTTGCTATTCCTAACTATTATCATTGCTCTTGGGCACCTGCTTTGAGCTGCAGCCATGGTAGAAGAGGCAGACGTTGCCATCAGTGTAAATCTTCCCATCTCCACACAGCCATGATCCACCCAGAACTCCACAGTGGCCCTGCCATGAGTATTCTCAAGTGGGCATTGGCCAGCACAGCACCCCTGGGCTCATTTCACGGCTATGCCTACAGTCTAGACAGCCCTGCCATAGAGTGGTGGGAAAATGTGACAAACACAGATGAAACCCAGGATCCTGCACTGTCTACTGCTTGTACCCTATGACTCACCCCAAAAAATCAAAAAATTATTTCAATATTAAAAACTCTTAGCCGGGTGTGGCTCACGCCTGTAATCCCAGCAAGCACTCAGGAGGCTGAGGCAGGAGCATTGTTGTGAGTTCGAGACCAGCCTGGGCTACAAAGTGAGTTCAAGGCTAGTCTGAACTACATCAGAGACCCTGTCTCAAAAAGACAAAAAAAAAGAAAGAAAGAAAAAGAAAAACTCTTACCAAGGAGTTGCTCAGATCACTGAGAAATATGCATGTTCCAATACACAGCCTTTCACTTTTTTTCTCCCTTACAAATTAAATTAACCACATTTTTTGCACTTTGCAATCACAGACTAGCTTATATACCTCAGTCCAGCAAAAATCACTGGCATCTTCTGAGAATCAGTAGTAAAAGCATCCTGGCATGGTGGCAATCATCTGGAATTCCAGCACTCAGGAGGCTGAGGTATGAGGATTGTGTGAGTTTGAGACCAGCCTGGACTATATAGTGAGAGTCTGTCTCAAGAAACCAAAAAACAAACAACAACAAAAACCCACACAATAAAGGCACTGTGTATTATCTTTCTTTTATTGTCTTTTTTTTTTTTTTTTTGAGACAGGGTCTAGCCATGTAGCCCAGGTGGGTCCCCAACTCACAGAACTCACAGCCATATTCCTGCCTCAGCCTGGAGTGCTGGGATTACAGGCTTCCCTACCACATGCAGCCTGTATTATCATTTGAAAATTTATGTGTTGCATATTATTTATGCATAAAATTATAATCCATGCATAAAATTTATAATAGACTGATGCATTTCATATTTTAACCAGGGAGCCAATGGCTAATCATTTACCAACAGGCCACCATATAAACCTCAATGTCCTCACCTGCAAAATGAGACAATTAACACCCAGCTCCCGAGCACTGCTATGAGCATCAGACAAACGTGAACCTCGAGCTCTCGGGAATCCCGGCCTTGCCACGTGGCTGGCCTTGGGGTCTTCATTCTTTCTCTCTGGACCCCTTCACTTTGCACCCCATAGCAACATGTACTCCCACTCCCTGGAGAGTCTGATCTTTAGCATCTCTACCGACTCATTGGCTGGGCTCAGGACATCTGTGTTGCCCTCATCTGATTTCTTCTCTTTCTCTTTCTTTTTTCAGGAGTGGAAATTGAACCTAGCACCTTCAAACTCCTGGGCTACTACTGAGATATGCCCCCAATACTAATCTCTTCTTAAAACTCCATTTACTAGGACCACACCTGGTGGTATCCTCTCATAGTTCCAGCACTCTGGGAGACTGAAGCAGGAAGATCTCAAATTTGAACCCAATGGGCAATTTAGCTACACAGCCAACTCCTTGTTTAAAAAAAAAAAAAAAAAAGGATGGGTTGTAATCCACTGTGAAGGCCCTGGGTTCCATCCCCACCACTAAGAAAAAACATTGTTCTTGCCAGGCTCGATGGTACACATCTGTAACCCTAGGACTCTGCTTGCTTTTTATGTTTGTTTATGATACAGAATCTTACTACATAGCCCATATGCATGTAATCTTTAACTCTAGGTGAATCTCCTGCCTCGGCCTCCTGGGATTACAGGCATGTGCCATCACATTTGGTTTAATCTTAGCACTCTGAGAGGCTGAGGCAGAGCGCCTGCAAATTGAAGTCAATTTGGGTAATTCAAGTAAGACTATCTCAGAATAAAAAATAAAAGTAAGGTAGAGGGTCGTGCTAGAGACATAACTCAGTACAAAGACCCTGGATTTGATCCCCAGTACCAAAATAAAACAAAACAAAACAAAAAAAATTGTTCTTGCTCTTGGTTAGCCATGGTGATTCATCCCTGTAGCCCCAGCACTCAGGAGGCTGAGGCAGGAGGATTGCTGCCAGTTTGAGGCCAGTCTGGACTACATAGTGAGTTCAAAGTCAGCCTGAACTGCATAGCAAGTTCTTGTCTCAAGATGAAGAAGAAGAAGGAGGAGGAGGAGGAGAAGGAGGAGAAGGAGGAGAAGGAGGAGGAAGAGGAGGAGGACTGCAGGGAGTTGGTTGGTGTGCCCCTCCTCAGGCATGCAGCAGGTGACTGGGAGGTCATGTGGCCCCTGGCATGCTGGGCACACACGGTGCGGTTCCCCCCGCTCCCATACAGGGGACTCCTAAGGGACTCCCTGCTGGTCACTAGAGCCACTTACAATTGGCTTCCCCAAGGGCCCGGCCACATCTACCTGCTCCCCAGGATCAGCACGGAGCCAGCCATGCAGCGGCACTTGCTGTGTGAACCAGGGCCCAGGCACGGGCTCAGGTGACACAACCAGGGCAGAGCCCCTAGAAAGGCATGGAGCCCAGCAGGGCAGGGACTTCGGGAGAAGAACGAGGCAGGGAGGAACAGGGCCTGGGGGGCCAAAGGCCAGGAAGAGCTGAAGAGCTGAGATTATAAACTAAGACCCCGGAACAGGAGTGGTGTGAGCGGAGAAGTGGGAAACCGGTTTCGGTGCCATCCAAGGTGACTTCAGGCCCAAGGAAGGCATCACGGCACCATCCTGCTCGCCAATTGCTTCTGCTCGAGTCCCTGGACAGGACTGGGACACACCTGGCTTCCTGGGAGGAAATGGCTTAGTCATGGGAATCCTGGGCCTGGCTGTAATGAGGCGACCCGGGGAGGGTGCCAGCCATCTCGGGCCATGGAGTAATCCCTCCACACGAAGACCCGCCCCTGAACCCAGCAAGGACCGGGAGGGAGATTGCTGCCCTGATTGGGCTCAGCCAGGACACTTCGTGGATGTACAGGCACTCGGACTGACAAAGCCATCTGTATAGGCTATAGCTTGAAGCCCAAGAATTCAAGGGGATGCAGCAGTGAGACAGAGACTCACAGTGCATCGGCTGGCTTTGAACTCGCCCTTCCTTCTTTCCCCTGGGCTTCTGAGTAGCAGCCATCAGGGCTCCCACACCACCCTGCCTCAGGGCCCTGGCTCCAGTTCTCACGCCCTGAACGCCTTCCCTGGCATGATTACAAGCTGCGTCCCACTCATCTGGGAACAGCTGTCACCCTGCGGCTCCCTGATGGGGCCTCTCCCAGGTTCACCAGGCCCCAGCTCGTCATTCATGTGGAAGACTGCCGAGGGTCATTAACCCCGACACTGTAATTACAGAGCAGCCTGCCTGACCTTCGAGTCTAGGAGAGCAGGTCGGGAAAATGTATTGTTACGCTTTTCATCTTTTCGCTGCTTGTAAAAATAATGCACACTCATTATAAAACATCACAGCTATATAAAATAAACCCCTGGTATGACGACTAGTAACTTTTGTAGGAGTAGCAAGGTTGTATTTAGTACTTACAGTCAGCTGTCTCCTATATTGCTTTGCTTAATTTTTTATTTGTTTTTCATTTTTTGAGATAGGGTCTCACTCTCTAGTTCAAATGGCCTCAAATCTGTGATCCTCCAGCCTCGGCCTCCTGAGTTCTGGGATTAAAGGTATGCGCCATCATGCTTGGCTTTCTGTTGATTTGTTGCTGTTCCTTTTTAAAAATTTTTTCTTACTTTATTTTGAACATCTGCGTACACATGCATACAGCTGCATCTTGGCTTTTGTAGCAGGGACTGAGCCCAGGGCCTTCACACTGAACTCTTTCCCCAGCCCTTTTTATTTTTTATTTTGGGACAGACTCCCTAAATCACTGAATTGCTCAAGCTGCGCTTAAACTTGCGATCCTCCTGCCTTAGCCCAGGTGATGTTGCCATTCTTTGATGATTACAGAGTGTGCAGATGTGCAGAGGAGCCACCATGAGCTCGATTCTCTGAACATAGAGGTTTTGCAGGCTGAATTTTCCTTTCTTACCTCCTTTCTGCTTATGAAAGCCTGGTCCAGGATCAATATGCATTTGCCTGAGGCCTCCAGAAGCTAAAACCCAAGCTGCTCTACAGAAAGGCACTCGGGGGCCACAAGGGCCTGAACAGACCAATCCCCATGCCACCTGCATATGACATGGCTCAGAGGGGCACGGGAACGAGTGGCCTGTCCCCACCCGAGTGGCCAGGAGGAGCAGCTGAGGGGTGGTCCCTCGGCCCTGGGACCTTCCCAGGGGTGCCCATGGGACCTGCAAACAGGACAGAGGTGGGGACCTAGACCAAGTGTGTGGTCCTCACTGTCCTACAATGCTCCCCATACCATAGCCATGCAAAGCAGCTGCAAGGAGCGGGATGGGTGCTGGCTCTGCAGTGGCAGAATTGGGGATCGATGGGAGAATCAGACACCGGACATGGGTGCTAGAGGTACAGTGTGGCTGGCCTGTCCCCAACACTACCCATGGGAGCTCTAGGTGCTCAGCTTTCCAGGGTGGCACCAAGGGGACAGAATCTGTCTCTAAACACCATGGCAGAGTCCCACCCAGAGAGGTCTGAGGGACCAGGATGGACCACTGAGGACACCTGGTGTCTGGGAAGCTCTGGGAGAAGCTGTCACTGCCCCTGGACTGGCTCCTGCCAGGGGTGGCAGAGAGTTACAGAAGCTCTGGGACACATTTGTTCAACTACACATGCGCCTCACTTAGTGCTCAAAGCGCTCCTGTGGGGCCTCCAGACAGCTTTCCCTAAAAGAAGAGCAACTCTCTCTGTTGTGGATAAACCTGGCCCCGGCTCCATGTGCTGACACACACAGAGCCATTTCTTTCCCTTTCGATTGGTTTTAAGCAATGCAGATTGAACTGGCTGAGGAGCTGATGTGTCATCTCTGAAGCAGAGTGACAGTTGCTGGTTCCCTGCCCTGTGACTCCCAAATACATGGTTGAGTTGGGCGAGATGGAGAGCCATGCTCCACGCTGTCAGCTGGGACTGAGCCTCAGGATAGAGGCTGTGACTTCCCAAGGCATACAGGACTGAGCATCAGACCTGAAGCACCGACTGCTCTACCTTAGATAGTCACCTCAGCTGTGTCATGCAGGTCACTCTCTCTGCAGGTCCATTCCTCTGCATATCACCGAGGTGACCTCAGACCTCCTATCTAGCTCAGCTCAGGGCAGTCATGTATTTTCCACCACTCTCACTGTCTCTCATCCCCAAGCCACTGCCCTCATGGAGAATTAACAAAACTCGAGTTGGGCCGTGGTTGTGAGTTTTGTTCTGGTGAACACCATCTGGGCTGGACTGAGGACCCTTCGCTCCCCATAACTGTACACATGTCTCAGTGTCTTTATTTTCACCTTGGGTTGAGAAGTGGTAGACCGGAATTAACTTCCCAGAATTCCAATAATTTTCTTTTGGGACTATGGATCTTTTGCAATGAGGACCGGGAAGGGCTCTCTATACTCGTGTTGGTTAGTTAGTTGTTAGTTAGTTAGTTAGTTAGTTAGTTAGTTAGCTGAGATGGAGTCGCATTATACAGTTCAGGTTGGTCTTGCAGATCTTCTTGCCTCAGCTTCCTAAGTTCTGGGGTTACAGGCATGTGCCACCACGCTGGGTTTAGAGCTCTGCTCTTTTTGTGCAGCTCAGAGCTGCAAGACCGTAAGCGGCAGAGACAGGGTACATGGTCAGCCTGGTTGCACACAGGTCCTCCCATTGCACCTGCTGGGCTGGGCGGGGCCCAGGGAGGCTTCTCCCACTCTCTTCCCTGCAGAAAGGACTGAGGTCGCTCCACTACATGAATTGTGGGACAAATGGAAGCCCCCAGAAGGCCTTGGGGCTTCGCTCAGCAGATCCCTTCCCAGTGCCAATTCCTGCCTGTTGTGCAGACACCAGCGCCAGGTCAGCCTTCCCATATTCTCCTGTGGGTCTGTGAACCTCTCATTTACAACAGAGATATTTAAAATGCAAAGATACCCAGGAAAGGTGGTGCACACTTGTAGTCCCAGCACTCGGGAGGCTGAGGCAGGAGGGTCGCTGTGAATTTGAGGCCAGCTTGGGCTACAGAGTGAGACCCTGTCTCAAAAAACTAAAAGAGTATTGAAGCAAGTCAACCAGATGGAGGGTAAAAGATTTTTTTTTTTTTTGGTACTGGGGATAGAACTCACAACCTTGTATTTGCCAGGCAGGCACTTATGCCACTTAGCTAAATTCCTGGCCCTTGAACTCAGGACTTTTGCACTGAGCTACAGCCCCAGTCCTTTTTTATACATTTAAATTTTGAGACAGGACCTCATTAAGTGGCTAAATTGCCCACACTGGGCTCAAACTTACAACCTTCCTGCCTCAGCCTCCTAAGTGCTGGAATCACAGGCATGTGGCACCTTGCCTGGTTTGGAAAGGGATCCTTCATGAGGTCTGGATGGCAAGAGCCCTGGGGTGCTGTCCTGCACACCTGCCTGAGCCGCAAGCCAGGAGAGTTCGCAGCCCGTCCAGCCTTTCTGTTCTGCGCTTCCTTTGCCAAGGGTCCAGGCTGCTCCCATCTCCCCACCTTATAGAGGATGCACAGATTCCCCATGGCAAGCAGGTGACAGTCCTGACACAGATGCTGCCCCTCAGCAGGTGTGGGGAGCAGCAGCCCCGCAGGAAAGAAAGGGGCACCTACCTTAGCCTCAAAGAAGTCCTTGGCACCTCTGACGCCCTCCAGGGCCACATTGATCTCGGAGAGCTGCGCCAGTGCCAGCAGCCCGCTGTCTTCCTGCAGTTTCCCGGCTGCCGCCTTGTGGAAGATGAGCAGGAACTGTGGAGGAGGGAGTCCAGGGTTACATCCTGTCCCCCACGCCCAGGACTGGGACCCCATGTCCCCTGCCAGGCCAGCGTCCTTGGGCCAAATGTTTGGAAACGGCGTTTCTATGCACATGCGAGTAGTATCTGTCCCCTGTGAGGATGCCCAAAACAAGACAAGAGGGCGGGTGGAGCGCAGTATCTGCTCTTTACTTTTTGAGAAACAGTCTCACTACAGCGTTCAGATTGGCCACTATGTAGCTCAGGGAGCCTCAAACTCGCAGCAATCTTCCTGCCTCAGCCTCCCAAGTGCTTAGATGACGGGCCTGTGTCACTATGCCTGGCAAGGGGCTCAACACTTGACAGGTCTGGATTCTCTCCTCAGCACCCAGGAAGGAAGGAAGGAAGGAAGAGAGGGACGGAGGGAGAGAGAGAGAGACAGAGAGAGAGAGAGAGAGAGAGAGAGAGAGAGAGAGAGAGAGCACGTGCGATTCAAACTTTTGAGTACTTTGGAAACATTTACCAAGAATAAGGCACTAGGGCCTAGGGTCTGGCTTAGTGGGAAGGGGTATACTTGGTGTGGGTTCAATCTCCAGCCCCCAAAATAAATCAATTAGGATAGAACAGAACAGGAATAGGAACAGAAGAAAAGAAGACAGAACAGAACAGAAAACTGTTTCCTGGTTCAACAATCCACTCAACTGTTGGGAATCTGTCCTTCAGAAATTCACACAATACTTTGAGCATCATCTAATGAAAATAAGAAAGTTGGCAAAAAAAAAAAGGGAAGGAAGAAAAGAAAACGAAAAAAAAAGTTAACAATACCCCACTTCATAGCCATGAAAGAAAAACCAAATAGGCCTACATGTATTAATAATATTTGTAAACAGAATTTACTATTTTCGAAGAGTTTTTTTTTTTTTACCTCTTTCTTTCTTTCTATTTTGAGACAGGGTCTCACTATGTGGTTCAGGTTGGCTTTGAATCGTCCATGTAGCCCAGGCGTGGTGGCACACACCTGTAATCCCAGCACTCAGGAGGCTGAGGCAGGAGGACTGACGTGAATTCGAGGTCAGCCTGGCCTTGTAGTGAGTCTAAGGCCAAACTTACATAGCAAGACCCTGTCTCAAAAATAAATAGATAGATAGTAGCTCAGGCTGGCCTCACACTCAGTGATCCTCCTGCCTCAGCTTCCCAAGCGCTAGGATTACAGGCGTGCGCCACCACGCCCCGCTCATGCCTACTTTACTTTCCTGGTGCACCCCACATCCACATCAGGTCCCCACTTTTATCACTGTCTGCAGAGAGGCCCTGAGCACCTGCTAGGTTTCAAATACCTGAGCTCTGCCATTTGCCACTTACCTGTGCTTTAGGGAGTGTTTTGACTTTCAGACCTTTGACATGAATGCTATCAAATCTTCTGTTTTTCTCTCCAGAACTATGTTTAGAAAAAATCTTTCTGGCCACCAAGTCACATAAACACTCACCTTTGTTTGTGTCTACTACTTTTATGGCTTTTTTTCTTTTTCAAACATCAAATATTGAACCTCTGACTTTATTCTGCTGTCATATGAGGTCGCCCTCACACTTATTTTCTCCCCAATGGTTACTCAGTAACCCCCACGTCATTCATTAAATAATCCACCCCCTTCCTGCAGACTCAGACACGGCCTGAATTAATCTTTGAGGCAACTTGTACCAAGGCCTGTACAGAATAAATTCTAAATGAATAAACTGGCCAAACAGAAGCAGTGGGTCACCTCTTTTCCTGATCTTCTATCCTAAGGCATTGTTTCTTGTCTTTTTTAAAGACAACGTATCAAAAAGGCAATTTTACAGCTTTCTCAACTTTTTAAATTTTGGTTTTTTTGGTACTGGAATTGAACTCAGTACCTCAAGCTTAGCCAGGCAGGCACGGTGGCTGGCCTCTTTTCTTTTCTGTTCTGTTCTTTCTTTCTTTCTTTTTTTTAAAAATGGGGTTTCACTATGCAGATCAGGCTGGTCTTGACCTCACCTCATTGCTCAGACTGGCTTGGAACTCACAGCAATCCTCCTGCCTCAGCCTCCTGAGTATTAGGATTATAGCCATTTGCCACTACACCCAACCCAGCTTTCTCACTTTTTTCTTTAACATTTTCTTACGAATTTACTTGTCAAACAACTACTATGCAACTTCCATTTGGAAAGAACATAAACCAATGGATTCCAAATCACTGAAAACAGCCTTTCTAGGATTTTTAGGGGCAACTTCAAATACGGGCTTGGGAGGAGGAATTCCAGGTTCAGGATCCCTCTTCATGATCACTGTCCCCAAATTCCCAGCGGCATCCTGGGACAAGTTGTCCCACCCATCCCAGCCTAGGTGCCTCTCACTCCCTGCACCTCCCAGCCCCAAACACCTCTCTGAGAAACCTCTGCCCCACTGGATCTGAGGTTCTCAGCACTTGGCCTGGACACTGTTCATTCAAGGCCCAGCCAGAGATTAAGGACCCAGATGCACCCACAGGGCCAAGCGGCCAGCCCAGGTGGTGGCTGCAGCTTCCGACCTGCTCACTAGGGGCCAGCAAAGCCCAGCTGTGGGGAGGAGCTGTACCGGGAGCTGCGCCAGGGCCAGGAGAGCCTGGCAGCTTCAGCCGCAGCCACAGCACCCTGGTGCTTGTCCCAGTCCCGAGGAAAAAAGGGCTCAGCATGGAGGAGCCCTGAGGTCGGCGGGGGCCTCCAGAGCTTAGCTCTCTTCTGCCACCACCATCTTCCCTGTGCAGGGTCTGCTCACCATCCAGCTCTTCGGGGGCCAGGACCACAAACCACACCAACTTTTCTCTGTAGATCACACCATCTCAAATGGCTGTGGTGGTGCACAACTGTAATCCCAGGACTCAGGAGACCTAGGCAGGAGGCCTGCCACAAGTTTGAGGCCAGTCTGGGCTACCTAGCAGGACCCTGTTTCAAAGAAAGCATCCCCAAAATAACTTAATAATAACAGAATAAAGCAAAAGTGATGGTGCTTAGGCCCACAACAGATGTTCCCACTGGAAACATCGAGAATCCACGCGCGCACACACACACCCCCGCCTTTTCCTTTGAGCCTGGGGCAGATCTGGGCAGTGGACTCAGCTCTGCCAGCTCAGTAGGTCATCAAAGCACCCTAGGTCCCGCAAGCCCAGCCTGTCTCAGGAGGAAAGAAAGTCCAGTTCCAACACTCTCCTTCCTGAGGCTTCACCACTGTCACTCATGCCCTGGGTCACAGCTCTCTCTTGCTGCACCCCAGCAGGCTGGCTGGTCAGTCCTCAGGGACCAGCATGCTGGAAGTGACTGGGAAATGACCCAGCTGTGATTGGGTGGGGCAGAGGAGAAAGGACGACAAAGAGACAGGGATGCCACTAAGAAAGCTCACTCACACTTTTGGCCTCTGCTAGATGGAACAGATTCTTAACTTCAAGGTTCTGGCTGCAGGTGCAAGCACTCCCCCCACCCCCACCCCCAGATCCCTTAGATTGTAAGCGACAGAAGTCAACCATGGCTTAAGCAAAAAGAAGATATTTATCACCAGAGGTGGTGGTGCACACCTCTAATCTCGGGAGGCTGAGGCAGGAGGATCAACCTGGCTTATGTAGCCCAGGCAGGAGGCCAGCCTGGGCTACATAAGTGAGTTCAAGGCCAGGCCAGCTTCAACTGCATAGTGAGATCCTGTCTCAAAAAAACCCCCAAAGATATTTATCATAAAAGAAGGGTTTCACCAGATCCCCAGGGCTTCCAGTACTCTGGGAGGCAGAGGCAGGAAGATCACAAATGTGAGCCTAGCCTAGGAAACACAGCAAGACCTTGATTCAAAATAAAAAATGTTTAAAGAGCTGGGGCATTGCTTAGTACAAAGACCCTGGGTTCAATCCCCAGGACTACAAAAAAAAAAAAAAAAAAAAAAAGCCCTGGATGTAGCAATGCTCTCAGGCCTGGGTGTGATGCCCCTGCCATGGTGGCAGCAGCAGGCACTGGTGCTAGCTCTCAGTGCTTCAGCCTGGCTGCAAACTCCCAGAGCAGAGACCCCGACTGACCTCGTGTGGCCAGGGCTCCAGCTGCGGCCCCATCACCCAGGACATCATGCGCAGTGGGACTGCCAGAGGCCCGCAGCTTTCATCCCCTCAGCTGCTCTACAAAACCCCACGAGCAGTGTCCTGAACGGAGGACATGCATTTCCCCACCACGCTGGAGGAAGGAAATCGAGATAGAGGTGTTGGCAGGCTTGGCTTCCAGCAAGGACTCTTCTTGGCAGGGATGTGCCACAGGAAGGATCACAGAGAGTCCGGGGAGGGGGGCTAGTAACAGCCCATTTAATTTAATTCATTATTATTTTTGTTGTGTTTTGTCTTTTTAGAGACAGGATCTCACTATGCAGTCCGAGCTGGCCTTGAGCTCACTTTGTATCCCAGGCTGGCCTCAAACTTGCAGTGATCTTCCTGCCTCAGCCTCCCCAGTGCTGGGATTCCAGGCGAGCGCCACCACACTTGTTCTGTTCTGTCATAATGAAACAATTACCATAAACCCACTGAAACTCTGTGCCCATAAAGATCCACTAGTACTATTTTGGTGAACACAGCTCTAGATTTCTTACCATTTCCCCAAATGAGGTTCTGCTACCAGTGCTGGTTTGCAGGCTGCTTTCCAGGCTGCATGGGAGTTCGCTTCCCTCCAATGGGGAGAGGCGACTGCTGGGACGAAACCCAGGGCCTCGGGCACACTGAGTGATTGCTCTGCCAATGGAGGTAGGTGTCCAGCTTCTTTGATCCCCCCCCTTATTTTGTTTTATTTGTTTTGTTTTGTTTTTGGAGACAAGGTTTCGCTACCTAGCCCAGACTGAGCTCAAACAGACAAAAATTCACCAGCCTCAGCCACCTGAGTGCGGGGATTGCAGGTATGCACCACCACACCTGGCTCCCCCAGCTTCTTTAACATTGTTTCTAAAGCAGGATTTTAGGCTAAATATATAACTAGTGCCCTCAAACGGCCACCCCAGTGTACCCCCAGGTCCTCCCTGCCTGAGCCACCCCGGCCTCAGGTCTGCAGGGCACTGTACCTCCCGAAAACTGAGCTTGCCATCGAAGTCCTCGTCCACCTCCTTGATCATGCTCTTCAGGCCCAGGTGTGTCTGGGGGGCGCCCAGCTTCTCCATCATCAGCTTCAGCTCCATGAGGTCGATGAAACCATCACGTCCAGCATCGTACCTGCAGGGCAAGGCAGGCATGGGCAGGAGCAAGAGACACCTGCTCCTCTCCCAGCCTGTGAGTTCTTTGGCCTCAAGGTGCTTCAGGTCTGCAATCCCAGCACTGAGGAGGCTGAGAAAGGAGGGTCACTGAGTGGGACGTCAACCTGGGCTACATAGTGAGTTCAAGGCCAGGCTGAAAGACATAGGGAAACCCTGTCTCCAACAAGCAATAGCCACAAAAAATGAGAACACACACATCTATACAATGGAGAATTATCCCAGCCCTCAGTTAAACAGAAGGGAACTCTAACCAGGAACACAATGTGGGTGACAATACTGTTTTTGCTGTCTGCCTTAGTTCATTTCACGTAATGTTTTTAAGGGTCACTCACATACCAAGCTGCTCTCCTCCTTTCTGTTGCCCAAATACAATCATTCTCTGGGGGCACAGATCCATCTGTGAAGGGCTGTTTCCACCTTTTGGCTTTCAGAATCTGCGCTACTCTGAGCACAAGCAGGCAAGCATTTGCTTTGTTTGGTTTGGGCGGTGCTGGAGCTCCAACCCACAGCCTGGCACATGCAAGGTGAGCGTCTTCCCTCAGCAGCATCCCCGGCCCACGGAACACAAGTCTGGACACCCCGTGTCTGTTCTCTCGATGTAGACCCAAGGAGGGTGCTGCTGGGCCTCGGGGCTCGTTTGCTTCCTTAAGCCCTTGTGGTAGGTCTAGAGCAGATGCTGCACAACCTGGGACCGGCCAGGGTGGAAGTGATGCTGGCAGTGGCATCCGCAAGAGCAGATCTGTCACAGCAGAACCGAGGCCCAAAAGATCTCGGGGAGCCAGTTCTGAAGTCCAAGGGTAAAACAGAGTACAAGGTGCTAAGCACAAGACACAGCCACCCACATTCGGTACTGACCCAAAAGACCTCAGGGCAGGGACTTCCAGAGTGGAGTGTTCCCAGTTGGCCGTCTGGAGAGCCACATGGCGGGGGAGAGGGGGAGTGGAGTGCAGGCCCCTCACCCCAGCATATGCTCTTTGCATTTAAAAATTTTGACAGGATCTCAATGTGTAGTTTGGGCAGAACATGCCTGGCATGCTAGCACTCAGGAAGCTGAGGCAGGAGCCTGTCAAGGCTAACCTGGGCTACATAATGAATTTTAAGGCCAGGCTGGACTACAGAGCATGACCCTGTCTTAAGACAAACAAACAAACAAACAAGTGGAAAGTCCTGAGTCTGAGACCCCTGAACCAACTTCTCAAGCACAGCGGTTGAGAGTCGACACACCTTTGGGGACCTTGGATACCATAATGGGTCCAGGCGGTGGCCAAAATAGTCATGATATAAAGGATGGAGAGTCTTTAATTCCAGGCTTTTATTTTGTTTTGGTTTGGTTTGGTTTGGTTGTGATAGGTGTCACAGCTACAGAGTTCAGGCTGGCTTTGAATTTGCCATGTAGCCCCGGCTGGCCTCAAATTCATAGTGATCCTCCTGCCTCAGCCTCACAATGCTAGAGTTACAGGTAAGCACCACCATGCCCATGGAGTCCCTAATGCTAAATGAAAGGGGCCACTGTCCTGCCCTGTGACTTTGGGCTCCACTCCACACCGACCTGCAGCACCGGGAGGTCAGGCTGGTCAGGGGGAGCCCACAACGTCATGCAAGGCCAGAGGCCAAGATGGCAGCCACCACTGGGCCCTGGACATGGATGTGACAGACACTGGAGGTAGTGAAACAGGAGCAGAGCTTTCTGGCAAAATTGGGGCCAGACCAGGCCTGGAAAGTCAAGCAAGCACTGACAGACGGGCAGGGAGGATGGGCTCTGTTACAGGGCTTGAGTCACAGCATACAGGGGTCCATGGGATGGAACTTTCTGGGGTTTCCCACGCCAGCTCACCTGGCTGCACAGCCCTCTGAAGCTGGGGTTTTCCACTGGACAAAGTGCAACCTGGCAGTGGAGTGTGCCAAAGAAACACTCCAGCCTGGAGTGGTGGCCCATGCCTGTCACCCCAGCTGTCAGGAGGCTGAGGCGGGAGGATCATTGTGAGTTTGAGACCAGCCTGGGCTATAAAGTGAGCTCAAGTCTAGCCTGACTTGCATAGCGGGACCCTCTCTAAAAAAAAAAAAAAAAAAAAAAAAAAAAATTAAAAAAGAGGAGAGGAGGAAGAGGTGGGGAGGCGGGGAGGAAACCCAGAAACACTTGGAGAAGGTGAGCAGTATTTGAGGAGGCGACGGAACAGAGGTGGCTGGGAACAGAGCATTTGCCAGCATGCACCAGGCTGGGGCTTTCCATCCCAGGTGAAGCACAAACAAACAAAACAGGGCAGCCCAGTTAAATGTCAACCTAGGCCCCCTCCTGGTAGGCTCCAGGCGAATGCCTTTGGCCTGCGATGGGGTATGTAGGGCACTGCGGCCAAGACATGGACTGTGGGAGAATGGGCAGGGCCGAGGGGCTGGAGGCCTGGGTGCAGAGAGGGGCAAAGGTCGGGGCCTTCAAGCAGGGCTTTGTCCTCAGCAGGACAAAAAGAAGGAACCACTTCCCAGCTCACCTGAATCAGGAACCGCACCCTTTGCCACCAACAGGAGAGGACAACCAGGCAGAGTTCCCTCTAGGTGGAGTCACTGGGGCTCTGCTTGGGGGGTCTGATCCGGAAGACCTGAGTGGTGCATGTGTGACATGAAGCTACACCCCCAGCACTTCTAAGTCCCCCAGGTCTGGCTCAAACTTGGAATCTTCCTGCTTCAGCCTCCCAGAGTACTGGGATCACAAGCCTGTGCTACCATGCCCAGCTTTGGAAAATCTTTCTTTTAGGCCCTCAAGCCCAAACCACTGCCTAGGCCAAACAAAAAGGACACAGAGGTCACCAGACTTCAACAAGCTCTGAGTGATGGGTCAACAGAATACTAGCTTCTAGCAAAGCATTTGTCTGGGAGCAAAAAGCCACCCCAGGTCAGCAAAGCCAGGCTGGAGAAAGGGCCCGAGCAAGGCTGACTTGGACTCCGCTGGGGCCGCCAAGTTGGTGCAGGAATAAAGCCTGGGTAGCAGCCGGGCGTGGTGGTACAGGCCTGTGATCCCAGCACTCAGGCGTCTGAGGCAGGAGGACTACAAGCTACATCCCACCCTGGGCTCCTGAAGGACTCAGTGAGACCCTGTGTCAAACAAGAAAAAATAAATGAAGAAATGAAGAAAGGAAAAAGAAAGAAAAGAAAAGGCCGGAGAGGGAGACCTAGCTCAGCACCACGGCCCTGGGATCACACCTCAGTACCATGAAGCTCTGAAGCCACCAGAGCAAGGGAGCAGGGAGTCAGAACCAGGTGGCCAGGAAGGGCTGCCTCCTGCATCCCCACTAGCAGCATCAGCCCAGTGCCACCTCTTGAGCCTCATAGGACTACAAAGTGACCACACCAGGGCTTCATGCAGCCAGCGCCCGTGAGGCCCGGGCACACAGGGCAGGCAGGAAGGCACACATTGGCCGTCCATGCATCACCCACTTCATGTGGTGAAGCCCAGTGAGTTCACCGTGCCCAGCTGCACCTGGGCTCAGCCCCAGCTGCTGGGCGGCTCCCCTCCGACCACAGGGCCTCACAGGCGAGTACTTTTGATGTACAGGATGGTCCTGTGATGCCCCAAAGTTTATGGGGGGTTTTGCCAGGTCCAGGCATGAGTTCAGGCAGCTTCAGTGCTGGCAGAGTAAGACCTGTTTATGGCAGCAGGTGACAAAGCCAGTTCCCACAGGATGGGCAGAGCTGGCCTGAGGTTCTCAGAGATCTGAAGCTTTCTGTGGCAGCAGGGAAGGCAGGAATGATGACTGAGCCGCTAAGTGAGCTGACACCTGCCTGTAATCCCAGCACTCTGGGAGACTGAGGCAGGGGACTGCAAGTTTGCACCTAGCCTAGACAACTTAATGAGACACTGTCTCAAAAACAAAAAGGCCTGGGAAGTGGGCATGGTGGTGCATGCCTGTAATCCCAACACTCAGAAGGCTGAGGCAGGAGGATCATTGTGAGTTTGAGACCAGCCTGGGCCTAAGTGAGATCCTGTCTCAAAAAGACAAACAAACAAAAAACTCCCCCCAAAAACCCCAAACACGTTGACTTTGGGGAAGAGATGGAATTTGTACAGTGCTGGATCCGACCAGTAAGGTGGCTGGGCCCGAGCTTTTTGTTGGGTGGTGAGGCCAGCACCATATTTCTGATCACATCTCCTAAAGGCACTCAGGAGAGACCTCCAGAGCAGCTTCAAAGAGCAGCAAGAAGGATGGAGTAGCGTGTTCAAAGCGCAAGTGTAGCTGGAGGGGCTCGCGGTAATGTGTCTCCTACTGTAGCAATACTTAAAATTCAAGCACATACTTTTGTCTTGCTCAGCCCACTGCCTCTACAGCCAGCCCGGCTGTGGAGGAGCGGAGGAGCCCGGAAGGGGACCTCATCCTCTACCCTCAGCCCAGGGCCATGAGACCATGGCAAGTGCTGGGTTTGGCTTCCCAGTGACCCACGAGGGTCTGTGTGAGCAGCTGTCTCCTCACACGTCACGGCGCAGGCCCAGCCACCTTCCTTGCTGGATCTGGCATGCTGCGACTTCCGGCTCTTCCCCAAAGTCAGAGTGACAGTAAAAGGTCAACTTTCTGAATGGATTCAGGACATCAAGGCAGCTGGGACAGTGCAACTACAGACACCCATGGAAGAGGACTCCAGAGCTGCTGCGGAAAGTGGCAAGAACAATGGGGTGAGTGTGCTCAAAGTCAGGGAGCATGCGAGGGAGTTCACGGCAATGCGTCTCACTACGCAGCTCACACTGGCCCTGAACTTGCTTAGGGGGTCCAGGCTGGTCTCGAGCTCTCAGCAATCTTCCTGTCTCGCCTTCTGAGTGGTGGAATTTCAGGCATGTGCCACCAGGCCCAGCAGCAATATCTTTTACTGCAATAATAATATTTTGTTCTTTTGTTTTCTTTTGAAACAGGGTCTCACTGTGTAGTTCAGGCTGGCCTTGAACTCACTATGTAGTCGAGGCTGGCCTTGAACTCA